TTTGGTGCTCTTTTCCTCCATGCTGTTGGCATTGGTTGAACCTAGCTGACTCCCCTTGAGGATGGTGGCACTGGGGACCTGCTTGACTGAGTTGATTTTTAAGCAGCCCTTTATGCAAACCGAGGTGAAGAGGGTTTGCTTGCTGCATAGTTCATGTGGTTGTAAAGCAATGCAGCAGATCTTCAGAGCTTTGAGTGTTCTGAAGGTCTGTGATGATGCCTTATCAGGAAGGGAATGTGTCATTTGTGGTGCAGGAGCAGCATGGCTCTGCTTTCATCTTGTGATGACAAGTGTGCCCACAGTTACTGGTAGAACGCATTAGGAAAAGTCTTAGCATTAAACTCATCTACATTTTTCAAGCAGTCAGCCATTACCTGTCAGTGTTCACCTAATAAAGTTGATGGCTTACAGTTATTGCTGTTTGGAGCTGAGAGGGGAATTTCACAGCATTTGTGTAGCGAATGGAGTCTTCCTTGGACTCTGCAGTTTGCATTTTCTATTTCACAAAGCTGAAGGCAGTTCAGCATTTTTAGGAACGGCCTGCAGACAGCATTTGCTCCTGCAGAGCTGGAGATCTTCCTCTTGAGAAGAGCCCAAGGGTTATTTTCTTTCTGAAGCAGGCGGGTCGTGTCACACCGATGGCGTGGAGCTGATGTGTAACTCTTCCTTTGGCAGATCTTTTCCCTCTTTGATTTGCTCCGATACTGTGTGAGTGTATGCAACCAGATTGCTGCCCATCTGCACATCCACGTGTTCCGAATCAAGTCCTCTTCCACTCATTCTAATCACCATTAATAAACGGGGAGCCACCATGGAGGAAAACCTGGAAAGGAGTTGGTTTTCTACATGAGGAGGGCAAGATGTGTCGGAGACTAAGGCAAAAAGCAGAAAAGAGCAAAATCTGTCGTCATCAATGTTGTATAACTCTTACTCTCTGTTATCAGTAACACTCCTTAACTAGTCTCCTGCCTGAGAGAGTGAATTCCAAGCACACCCTTAGTCAGCTCTACATGTAGTCAACTCTGTTGGTTCCGAGCCCAGGAAAGCATGCAGAGAGCATTGCTCTCTTTGTAATTACTTTGATTACAGAATAATCTATGTATGGTGAATGGATCCCCAACAACTGAAGTTTCTAATGTAGTATAATTACAGCTGCAATACGACTTGCTTTTAATTTTAATATTTCGTCATCTCTTAGTGAAATACTTGTTTAGTGTCCACTTGAAATTCATTTACTGAAGACCTGAGCTGGTAACAGATATCTCACTAACTTGTGTGGCTGAAGCAGCTGTTGAGGCTTGAGTCCAGGCTGATGCGGTTCATTTGCTGCAGCATTGCTGATAGAAGTGGTTTCTTGGCTGGAGAATACAGAGCAGGGTTCTGCAGGAGGAAGGGATGACCAGCATGCAAAATAGTGTGGTATCTTTGTCAATTAATTTTATTTTTTTAAATAAACGTGATCTAAAAGACAACTTACTTCTCAATTTTCTTCAGTGGGAAAAACTTTAAAAAAAAGATTTTACTGTTTACTTTTTTATGTATGGAACTTAAGCAAGATTTCCTTTCTGCTCTTAATAAATAAGGATTCTGAGAGCAGCAGTTGTCTTCAGATGTGTGAGTTGCTCTGTCCTGTTGGATTGAAGTACTTAATGTTAAGAAGCAGCCACACTGCCATTTAAAAAGCAGTTTTCTAGTGCTGCAGCTGCCCAGTGATGTCGTTCTGGGATCTCCAAGACTTCTCTGTGCTGTGTAATGTGGTAAGTTGCTCTTTATTCTGTTTTTAATACCAGTTCAAGTGTGGAGGCTGCTGGATTTAATGAAGGGTTGAAACGGGCAGAAGTGAAGTGCTGCAGTGCGTGCCTCGCTGTGGCACTAAGGTGAATTTTGGACCCTGAACAAAGGGCCCAGGTTTGCTGTGCAGAGCAGGATCTGCTCTGGTTGCCTGGCACTGTTGGTGGGATGTGCTGGGAGCCTGGAGGCTGAAAGCCCAGACCTGCCCGTGAGGTGTCTTGCTAATGGTGATGGAGAATTGTCTGCTGGGAACCCAGAGCACAGCAGTGCTTGAGAACTGTTTCTTTTCTGAAAGGAGTGGATGTGGCTCATTAAAAGTCAGTGACAATAGAATGCTAAACCAAAGCCCCACTTGGCTGTGGGAAGTGGAAATGTGTATTTCCTGTGGCAGCCCAGTGAGTGGAAAACTCTCACAGGGAAGGGGGAGAAAATTCAGTTCCTCCTCACCCAAAAACCCTTCTTCCCTCTCCTGTGAGAGACCGGGCATCAGTTTATTGTGGACAGAGGTGAAGTCTCCCCAGTGGCAACTTGGAAACACGGGATGTTTGAGAGAGAATGCAGGGGGAGAAGAGCTCTGGTTCAGTCAGATGTTTCCCTTAAGGAGGGAAGAAGTGGGGCTGGCTTGGGGCATTGCAGGCATTGGAGTGAGATGCTGACTTCTCCATGGCAGCACGTCCAGGTGCAGAAGTGCAGTCTTGGCTTTGCCTGGGTTGGAAGAGGCTTGCATCCTTCCTTGCGTGGTGCTGCTCGCCCAGCAAGCGTGGTGGTGTTTGGTCACACAGCCTTCAGGGCAGCAGCTGCCCCAGTTCCAGGTAACTGAGATGTAGATGGCATTCACGCTTAGTCTATCTAAACTGCATTCATCTGGATGAAGGTTCTGTCAGGGGAAGCCCAGCCTCTCACTGCTGCTCTTCAGGTGGTGGAGAAGAGCCTGCAGGACTGGCAGTGCTGGAAGCTGCTGAGTTTTCCCACTATGGGATTCCTTCCATCAGATGGGGGTGGGTGCAGAACTCAGGACCTTGGGAAGTCCCTGCTGAAGCAGTGGGGCAAACAGGGAGTTGTTCTCTTGGTTTTTAGGGTTTTGAGATTAAGCTGCTTTGAGTAACTTACCAGTGATGCTTGTGACTGATTTGGTCAAAAACTGAAGTCTTTCAGGGGCTGCCAGGTCCAAACAAGCTGTTAGGAGGGAGTCCAATGCCTGTTGCAATGGGGAAATGCACTGTGATTCCTTGTCCTGAGCTTTTTGTCAACCAAAAGCTGGAGTGACCTCAGGGATCCCTTCCCATGTCCGTGCAGATCAGGTTTCAGTGTTAGCAGAGGGCAGCATCCTGTTCATAAAGGAACATTACTGCTTGTAACCCCAGCCGTGCAGGGCACTGCTGTGGGCGTAGGGATTGTATAAATGCCTGCAACAAACGATGGAACGCGTGAACTTTGGCACTGTGCACTGCAGCCCTGCTGTTTGTGATCATAGGTTATCTCAGATATGCTTGTAGGCCTAAAGTTGTAGGAGGTGAAGGAGGAGCAGCATTTACACACTCACCCTGATCTTGTGACACTCCTTTTCCACTCTGTTGAATGCAGAAGATGCTGTAGAGGGAAAAGCTTTTGCAACAGCAGCCTTTGCTTCCTGCAGCACTGCATGGACCTGACATCCTTCAGAGCTCGTAATGAGGTTTCCTGTGAAACCAGCGAGGGAAGCTGAGAATGTGAGTTGGTGCTGGACTGCTGCATGCTGTAAGGACTGATGGAGGGGTCCCCTGCCTTCAGCAAGGGCTTAGAGTGGGAAGAGGATGTTGAGATAGCTTGGGCTCTGATTCTGGCTCATCTGAGCATCAGTTGTGTTTCACGTTTGTGTTTTCTTCCTACCCTGCATTCACCCAGTGCCTCTCTGTGCCTGATTTCATTTGGGAATGGAGTTTTGGAGAGGTTTAATCCTCAGGGGCTGAAGGCCACAGCAGTGTTCTGAGGTCAGAGGCAGGAGAGCAGCGTGCTGATAGGAGCTGTGTGTTATTATCCTGCACTTACCTGAAAGCACTCAGCAATGGTGACTGTGCTGACTGGTAGGTTGAACAGGCACAGGGCTGTTTGCTGCTGCTGTGACACACCGTAACACAAACCTCATCTTCCACACGGGGCAGCTGTGCAGCAGAACCAAAAGCACGGAGCCCCTGCCTGCTGGTTGTTTGTTCTGCTGGGAGCTGCGCTCACAGCTTATCAGAAATGAGCACTTTCCAGTTCAGGGCAACATTTCCTGGCATTGCTTTATTTACTGTTGCAGACTTAGAGCAAAGTGTGAGACAGACCTTGAGCAGGAAGAAGGGTTTAAAAATGCACTGAGTTTTGCTGGTTGGCTGCAGTGTGAGCTGAGCCCGGCTGCAAGCAGCTGCTGTGGGAGGCAGCCCAAAGAAAGGAGGGGATTTTCTTCAGCACCTGCCCTGCTTTTTAGCACTGGATCTGCTTTCTTTGCTGCTCTTGCTGCACATCCCTGAGGTCCAGGTTCTGGGTGTTACAGGGCAGGGTGTTGTTAAAGCTGTTGCTGGATTGTGCTGCCCAGGTGAGTGAGTAGTTCTACCAGTCAGGCTGATTTTCAATGCTGGGCCAACCCAAATCCAGAAGCTCTTAGTGCTCACAGGTCAGAAACATCACCAGTCATAAAGGTGTAGGAAATGAGGGCTGAGCTGTGAGGAAATTAGAGCATAACCCAAGGGGAAGAAGACAGGAGAAGAGGTGGGGGTCAGGATTTAGGGGCCTGGGGGCAGACTGTGGCCCCGGGTTTTTCTCCTTCCTCTCTCACTGAATCATAGCACATGCAGTATGTTATAAAATGCATTGGAGTTACACCTTGCTCGAGGAAAGGAGCCATTTTTGCACACCTCCATTCTCTTTTCAGCAGCAGTCACTTTCCATTGGGTGCTTCTCAGGCAGAAGCAAAGCAGCTGCAGCTTCCAGACCTTCAGGCGAGTGGTGATGCTTCATTACTGAAGAGCTGCTGCCAAAGCAGGGACCACTTCCCTTTCTCCTCAATGAGATGTTATGCAGCTCAGAAGGTCAATGACTTCTCCAAACGCCAACGAGTGAGAAGGAAAAGTGGGAGAGTGGTTTGTGCAGAGAGGATAACAGCTGCTTATTAACACCCTGCATTTCCGCTTCCCCTTCTGTGGTGGGAGATGAAAATTTTGGGGGAAAAAAATAAATAAAAGCACAGCCAACGTTCACTACTCTTTAATTTCCCATAGGCTGATGGTAACTGTCTCACTCCCCATGATTTGGGACTTGTGGAGGCAAAGACGACGCCTGCAGTGCCCAGGCCCTTTGTGCCCCTGACAAACAGCTCTCATCCTCCCCCAACCCAAACAGAAGCAGAGCAAAAAGTCACCATCCTTATTGCAGCATGGCTGGGCACATCACTGCTCTTCAGCAGCGCTTCTGCTGCTTCTGTTTGTGCAGGGCTGCAACAAATGCCCTCTGCTTCTGCCTCAGTTCTGTCAGGGTCCCAGCAGCTCTGACCAAACATCTGCAGGTGGATCGTGTTATTAAATGTCTCCAGCAGCTCAGTGCCACCATGGGGGAGTGGAGGAGGAAGGAAGTCATATTAAGAGATATTATGATGTCTAAGATGGGGCAGTTTGGCCACGCAGCCTTGGAGAGGACAGAGCTCTGCCTTCCTCCACACCTCCTGCTGGGAAAAGCCAGCATCTCTCCCTGCTCATCCCTTCTCTCCCCTGGGAAGGTCCACTGCCAGGGAGGAACCAGGCAGACCTGCAGCTCTGAGTCTGTGCAGCAGCCCTTGCTTCCTGTGCAGATGCATTAGAAAAAGGGGAGAGCAGTAAGGGTATTTTAAGAGTACTTTAAGTCTGCTGCAGGCATCACGCTCCAGTGGCAGCACTGAGATGAAGCACAGTGATACAGCAGGGGTTGGCATCAAACCCAGCAGTGAGGAGGACGTTGCCACATTTTACTGTGAGTTAACCAGCACTTCCTCCTCCCCAGCTCTCCTCTCTCTGCTGCAGATCAGAGTCCTGTGACTTTCAGGTTTGCTCATGCTGTGAATAAGTAGCCTGTCAGTTCATTCCCCCAAGCAGCTGAAGTGGTTCCATGCGTTACCAACAAAGACAGCAGATACCAGAATCCTCAGAAACTATTCCATAGGATGCTACCTATTTGCCAAACCTATGTTTGGCTTACTTAGAAATGAGCAGTGTTTCCTACTCATCACTGGTCCATTTTGTCCTTTAGCAATGACCGGTTCCATCCATCAGCACACAGCGCTGGGGTTCCCAGAGCAGCTCAGCGTGGGGCTGAGCACTGAGCCATGTTCCTGGCCCAGCCACGTGGGAGGAGACACCCCAGCCTGCTTGTGAGCTCTGTGCAAAACTATTTTCCAGTGCAACGGTGCCCTGAGGGGAAAAAGGGAAAGGGCAGAAACCGGTGCTGGGTGCTTTCCATGAGTCTCGGGCAGGACAGACCCAGCAGAATCCGGAGTGCTCTGCCCTTGGATGGGCACAGGTGGAACACACAGCCCTGCTGGGTGCCGGCCCTTCAGGCTGCTCTCAGGAGTCCCTTCGGTGCTTCTTCTGCTGGTGGTATTCTGTTATCTTCTGCTGGAAGTAGGCTGTAGGCACAGAAAGGTGGTTTGGGGTCAGCAAACAGGGCCAGAGCTGTCACAGCTGTGCTTGCAGCTCATGCATGGAACTGGAAGGTGGTGCATGGGGCTGGGTGGCACGCACTGGGTTACAGAGGGCCACATCCAGGGAGGTCTGGGTGAAACGGGGTTGTGGGGATCCTCCACCCACCACCACTTCCCCCCCACAGTGAACTCAGGTTACACTCAGATCGGTTTTCACCCACATATTTGTTCCTGTTCCATTTTTGTGCTTTGTACCCAACCAACAAGGAAGAAAGCGGGAGACCATGAGAGTGCAAGCGGCTAAAAAAGGTGACACAGCAGGACCACAACAGCTCAGATTCTGCCCTCTGTCTGCTGCAGGTCTGTCCCTGTGTACCCTGGGCAGGGCGCAGCAGGCTGGGGAGATCCGTGTCCAAATCAAATATTTGTGCTTCTGTTGGCTGTCTGCCTAAGTGTCAAAATGAGCCCAGCTGGTTTCTGACTGCTAATAGGAACAGAGAAATGCACTGAGGGTAAATGGGTGCTCGGGTCCCACTTACTGCCCTGAGCATCCCCAGCACAGAGCTGCAGCCCTGTCCGAGTATGGGGCATTTTTTCCCCTTCTCCACCCCTCCCCCAGCACTCTGCAGCCTCCTTTACCTTCCTGTGGGATCCTGCTCTTCTCTGCATCCTCAATAAATAAGGAGAACATGTTGGTCTTCACAAACTTCTTCACAAACCTGCGGTTGGTCTTGGAGGCGATGGCCTTACAGAATGCTCTCTCCTGGAAGGTGCCCAGGCCGTTTTTACTCCACTTGATGTGGGAGGAATAATGCCCGACCAGACGGACAAAGAACTGCACAAAGGGCTCGGAGATGAGTGCGTTCAGCTGCTCGGATGCTGGGGAAGGACACAGCATTAGAGGTGGAGATGGGACTCTGTTATTCCAAATGGAGCCCAGGTCTCATTAGGAGAACCGTCTGCCCTCTGTCGCCTTAACCCCATGTAAAGAGACGCCCTTACTGTGTATGTTGTTGTTGCTGTTGTGCCTGTTCAGAGATGCCAGCATCTCATTCTGCAGCTTGATGGGCAAGATCTCCTTCTCATCGCCCACCTGGAAGGCAAATGGGGCCATGAAGGATCCGCGTGGCTGTGGAGGTGCTCAGGGGCTCTGCGGGGCCCTGTGGTTATGGTGTGCAGTGATGCTGGGGATGGGGTGCCCCACACACAGAGGCTGCTGCTCGTGGGGCAGCACAGCGGGTGGAGGAATCCCTTCGTGGGACACAAAGACGCAGAATCAGCTGATCATTAAAGTCAGAAAAGACCCCCGAGATCCTGAGTCCAACCCCACCCCGCATGCCCACCTTTGTCCCTCAGTGCCACACGTCCACCATTCTGAACCCCTCCAGGGATGGTGACCCCCACCACTCCCAGTACTGAGGCCACAGCCCTGCCACCGAGAGGCAGCTGGGACAAAGCGGGGAAGGGGCCCTTCCTGGTGCTGTCCCTCAGCCCAACATCCTGAGTGGGGAAACCTACCGCCCTGAGGATCTTCCCTTTGCACAGATCAACTATCAGAGCCTGGAAGAGAGCACAGAACAACGGGCTGAGCAACCACAGCCACCGAGACATCCGCTGCGCTCCTCCCCATTGCTGCTTCCCACCCAGCACAAACTCAGGGTCACAGCTGAACCCAGCGCTCAGCCAGACCCCTTCACCCCTCCTGGCTGCATTAAATACCTCCTCCATGGGCTGCTCCAGCACTCGCTCCAGGTGCCGCATCTGGATGCCAACCATGAAGGGCGTGGGGCAGCAGACGGTGTCAAGGAGGCATTCAGGGACCACGGGGATGTAGGTGTGAGCCCACGTGAAGGGGTAGAGGAGAGCAGCCACAGCATGGATGCACTGCGAGAGGACACTGCGAGAGCACGAGGAGCTCAACCTGTGCTTCTCCCAGGGCCTGGGGGGTATTTTGGGTAAAAGAAACGGCCCAGGACTGACCTCAGCTCCTCAGCCAGGAAGATGAGGCGCCGCTCCAGCACGGCAGAGGCGAAGATGTGCAGGATGAGGATGGGGCTGAGCCGCTGGAGCAGCGCTGGGAACTCCACGTGCTCCAGGTGGGCGTCCACAGGACGTGTGAGCACAATGAGCTGCGGGGTGAGAGCCACCGAGGTTGGAGTAAGGGGCAAACGTCCCTTCTGTGCCCACCTGAGCCTCCCAGAAGATGATTTGGGAGCAATTCATGACCACTGCGCTGCCCAAACATCCTGGAGTTTGCAGCATCTGCATCGAGACCTCCTGCAAAGCACAGCCTTCCCCTTGTCCTGCACGGGGATTTGGGACACGCAGAAACAAAATGCAGGGGATGCCGCAGGCAGTGCCTACTGTAGCATTTACTGATTAGGGCAGTGGAGTTGTAACCCAAAGTTCTCCAGTGTTCACGAGGCCCCAGTAGGAGACCTCAGCACACAGCCTGCAGGCAGCGCTGGAGAAAGTCGCCCAGAAAAGGGAGGAAGGCACAACTTCTGCTACGAAAACCACCCAGACTTCCTCAAAAGCCATCCCAGGAGGGCAGGCACGCTTCATGCTTGCAAGGATGGAAAGGTGAAACATCAGGCTGCTGTTCAGTGGTGGTGTGTCCCTTCAGTTGGCTTTGCCATGGGTGCACAGCCCCCAGCAGTGAGCTGTGACACAGCACTGCATGAGGTGTGACAGCCCTGTCACCTCTCTCCACCTTGCCTGCCCTGTGGGGTCACCCTGTGCTGCTGCACTGCCAAAGTGCTGCATTCCCAGCAGGCAGCGCAGGGCCTGGCCTCCACAGCCTCTTCCAGCACAAATCCTGTACCATGTCCAGCTCTCAGCCCTGCAGCACCCAGGATGTGGTTCCAGCCCTTTCCCTGGGATCGCCCTGCCTCATTCCAGCCCCTGCCAGGAGCCTCACATTCCGTCTCTTCCAAAGAATGTCCCCGTTCGCCCTGCTTCCCCGTCACCCCCAGCCACGCTCCTGCAGCCTGGCCCTCAGCCAGAGCATTGAGCAACGTGCAAAGCCCTTGCACAAGTTTTCCTGGATGAAGAAATCCCTTGTAATTTGACAGGCAGCTGCCAAATGGCACTGGAGAGGGAGGATCCTGCTCTCAGACCCACCCCAGCAGGATGCATTCTGGGGATGACCAGCACCATTGCAGGATCCAGGACAGATCCTTCAAACTTTTCACAGCAGTTTCACCGTAAGAGAAAGGGAAAAACAGAACAAGCTCTGCTTGTGCTAACCTGGCCCTGTGCTTTGCATGGGTGAGGTGGGCACCGTGCCCTGCTCAGATCTTTCCGAGCAGCACTGCAGGTAGGAGCTGGGCTTGCTGCATGCCTCCAGCACGCCTTTGGTGCTCGGCTGAGGCGGTGCAGAGGGCGAGCTGCAGCCTGCACTGCTGGGTTGCAGCCCCGAGGCAGGGGTGTGAACCAGCACAGCCCCAGCACAGCAGTGCTGACGCTGAGGCTGTTTGAGCAGCGATGCTCAGGAATGGTGTCAGATGAGGTTTTGCACCGAGGGCTCCGGGCTGATGGAGCTGCAAAGTGGCATCGCCCACAGGTGGGCTCCATCCTCACCACTGCTCTCATCCACGGGAGGTGGCACCTCTGTCCCCCAGGGCACAAACTCCTCACTGCCCAACCCAAACCCATGGAGGCAGCCCCACGCTGGAGCAGCACAGAAAGTGCTGAGTCCCCAAAACCAACCTCTGTGCCTGACTCAGGGATGAAGCTTTTAATGGTGACTGTTTTCCCCGGAGCTGGAAAGGGCGATTCCCGCAGGCCCTGCATGAAGGGGTAAATCACAGCCATGGAGATCTGACGCCTCTTCTCCACCTCATCCAGGATCTGAGGGAGGCAAAAGGAAGCCACGAAATGCCAGCAGGCAGCAGGGCGGCCGCCTGGCACAGCGGTACCCACATAGAGCCCCACCTTGGAGAAGAGCCCGAAGCAGCCCAGGCAGCTGATGATGCAGAAGACCTCAGGGAGGCGGACACCACGGCCAGAGGGCTGCAGGAGGATGGGAGAAGGGGTTGAGCATCTCCCAGCCCCATCACGTCGGATCCCTCCTCCTCCCAGTGATCTCCAGACCCATTCACCCCAAGGAGAACCTTCTCTGGAATTTGAATGGGAAAAATCCCAGTTGCTCGCTGGGGGACTTTCAGAGCTGGGACTTCAGCCATGGATGTGCTGTGCTGTAACAGCACAGGGCACCAGGGCCCGGAGTTTGGATGCCAGGGTTGTTCATCATTTTGGTACAAAGCCCTATGGCACTTTCCCAAACTTTCTTCCCCATCTGACACCTCCTGCCCCATTCCTGCAGCTAATCCCACCTCCTGATAAAACAGCACCAGCGAGTGCCCAGGTTTCTCTTTCCTTTCCACCTGGATGATCCCACACTCGTTTCCTCCTTGTGCTTTCAGCCTTTCAGACACCCAGTACCAAAATCTTGGGTGCAGATGTGGGGAGAGAAGGATGGGGTGCTAGGATCAGCAAGTCACTGAGCGTGGGCTGCAGCCTCATGGCTTTCTGTCCCTGTTTAAGTATCCTGCATGTGAACTGAGGCCCAAAGAAGAACTCCATCGTGCCCCCATGCTGGCCAGAATCCGTGAGCTGAGAGGCAGCCACAGCTCAGAACACGGGATGGGGCTGAGAGCACCCAGGTCCTCCGTACCCAACATGGGCACCACGCACATCCCTGTACCCAGTGCTGGAAGGGGCTGGCACCTCCCACATCCCACCTCCCAGCTCTGTTTTGGGCTGCTTTCCTCCCACCCAGCAGCCAACTGACAGCCCAACAGATATCAAAAAACACCCCAAGCCCATCAGGCAACCCCCACTGCTCATCACACCGCCTCCCCATTGGCGCAGCCTCAACCAGCGCTCACCAGCAGCCGCCTGCAGTAACCGATCTTCCTGCTGCCATCCACATTCGTCAGGACGAAGGAAAAGGTTTCACTGTGAGGAGATACAGAGCATGGGCACAGGGCAGCTGGCAGCCCACAGCCCTCCAGGTGGGACCGCAGCAGGGCAGGTACCTGGGGAAGGTGGTAACGGGCTCCCAGTTGTTGCCGTCGGGGAAGCAGAAGAGGGGGATGGCCTGCAGGAGCCGCTCCTCCTCCTCCTTCTGACCCTTCAGGAGGTTCTCACGCTGGAACAAAATGATGCCATTAGGGGGATGGATGGCACCCACAGGGCTGGGGTGGCACGGGATGGCTTTGGGGTGCCTGCACAAGGTACCTCCCTGCACTCCTCTGGCTCTGGTGACGGGGAAGGGAAACGTCCCCTTTTTCCTCTTAACCTCAGAAAACTCATCTTTCCCCAGAAGGGTGCAGGACCAAATACCTTTGGGAACTGATACGCTATCTTGGGTTCATAACGTCCATCTGACATCTTCTTCAGTGAAACCACCACCAGGTACTCAAAGAAGAACTGCCCAGCAGAGTAGAAGACGGAGCTCCGTTCTCCTGCTTTTCCCAGAGCCACACGAGATGGGATGCTGTCGGCTGCAGGGGCCTCCTGTTTGCCTTCTGTAGCCAAAAAACAAAGCCAGAACCAGCAGAGAACAGTGAAAGGTAAGGCTGGGAGGTGTGCAGGGAGGGAGATACAGGGCTACTCGTGAACTGGACCTGGCACATAGCAGGTTCTGGTCCCTCTGAGGGCAACTGGGGACCCATGGGTTCAGGACATGGAATGGAAAAAGACAACTTCAGTGAGTCTTCTGGAGGAAATCAAGGCACCATCAGACCCCCACAGCCCTCCTTCACCCCATTCCAGAGAGGTTGGGGATGCCCAGAGCAATGCCTGGGCATGGAGGGAGGATGGAGAGCAGAACCACATGGGAGTGGTTTAGAGCACACCATTTAGAGCACTTTGATTTGTTTCCTCAGGAGGACAAAGAAACAGCAAACAGCCAGCACAGGGCTGGTTTGAGCACCTCCAAGGGCTCCGTGAGATGAATCCCAGAGTCTCCCTGCCAGATGCACTCAGTCCTGGGAACTGCTGATTGCAAATGAGATACCAGAGGGTTTTCCTTAAACCACAGCTCCCACAGCAAAGCAGTTCCTTGGAACTGCACCCTTTTTCTCGTTGAGCTGGTTGGGAGAGCAGCTGGGGAGCGTCAGCTTCACAGCCCCAAAATGAGAAACAAGAACGAGGAGAGCCCACAGCAACATGCCCAAGGGTGCTGGGGTGCTCGTGGTGGGACAGCAGCATGGAGGGCTGGGGGATGAGCTCAGTACCTGTGCTTAGGTACACAGCAGGCAGGAAAATGGGCACGCAGCTGGATTAAACCCAACTCCTGCAGTCTGTCCCTGTATCCCAGGGATTGGCTGTGGGTTCCTGTGGCAGCTCGGCCACTGTCGTGCACCTTTAAGGCCGTTCTGGTGGGCACCTACAGCCTTCAGACATTCCCAGCTGTGGATTTTCACCCCTCCCTCCCATGGGCACAGAGAGGACAAAGGCTGCAGCATTGCACCCTGCCCGCAACGAGGGCATTGCAAGAAAGACTTCATGCTGCACACGCAGCTTCCCACGCTGACAGCGAGCTCCTTATCAGCCAAAGGCAGAGCTGGGAGCTGCACAACCCTCCCCATTGTGCCCTTGCTGCCGGCTGAGTTCACCCCGTGCTGCCACCCACCTGCCCCAACAGAAAGGAAATGGCTTTCGCTTCACTTTCTACTCAATGCTGAGAATAAAATCGTAAAGCCCCGAGCGTGGCTTTAGCTTGATGCTGCTGAGAAAACCTCTATTTATGCCTCAGAAATGCTCACAGATCGTCAAAAACCAATTTCTGCACCTTCCTCCGGTGGTACCGTGCCCTGTGGGTACCAGGGCTGTGGGGTGCAGCCACGATGCCGGGTTCCGGTTCACCCTGCGGTGCTGCCTTTGGGGCCGATCCTTCCACGTGGGGGATGCCCTCGCTGAGCTAAAGGTGTAAATACCCTTTGGTATGGGGCAGACTCGTTCAGGATGGGTTTTGGTTGAGGTTGGTAGGAATAGGGCAGAGCAGGAGGGGTCGGGCTGAGCCCCCAGAGGGTGTTGTGAACATCGGAACCTGAGATAAAGCCTCGGGTTTAGGGTGAGCCCCCGGATAACGGATAAACCCCGGGGATTTAGGGCGCTTGGGACGAGCCCTGGGATTTGGGGTGAGCCTCGGGATTTGGGGTGAGCCCCGCGGCAGAGGCTCGGGGAACGCTGAAGCGGACCGAACCGGTGCCGGTGCCGACGCGACCGCGCTGCGCTGCCCGTGCGCATCCCCGCTCCGCCCGGCTCCCGCTGTCCCGGCACCGTCCCGTCCCTTCGTGTCCTCCCAGCGCTCACCTCTGCGGCCCCTGCGCCGTAGGCTCCGTCGGAAGAAGCTGCTGATGGAGGAGGCCATGGTGGCCCCGACGTGGAGCGGCCCCGGTGCGGCGCTGCGGGGAGCTGTGCTTCCGCCCGTCGAGCTTTCGCTTTCCCGGGGGAGGAGGGACGGGACGGGGCGGAGAGGAGAAGAGAAGAGAGGAAAGGAGGAGCGGGGGAGGTGGGGAAGGGGGGGGAGCCGGGCCGCACCTGGCGTCGGATGGAGGTTGGGGAGACGGCACCGGGAACGTGGGGTGCGGAAAGAACGGGAAGCACCGGGAACCAGGAACACCGGGCACGTGGTTCTGGGAGTACCTGAGTATGGGGAGGGCCGGGAGCATCCCTGGGTACGGAGGAGCCGGGAAGAGCCGGGCACGGCAGAGATGTCCAACGGCAGCGGCCGCTCCGCCTCCCCGGGGTTCTTTTGGGCAGAGGAAGGGAGCGAGGCTGAGCCGCTCCTGTGCAGGGCGGAGGTCCGGGGCCGTTTGCTGGGATGGGGAAGCAGCTCCAGCTGGCACCGCCGAGCTGCGATTTTGTCCTGGTGTGGGAAAGCTGCGCTCCCACCTGTGCTGGCGCTTCTCCGTGGGCAGAGCTCTGCACCCTCCCTCAAAAACGCCCGGATCGGCCCTGTGGGCACAGCTGTGAGGTGCGATGAGTTGTGCACAGTCCTCAGCCCCGCTGTCAGAGCAGTTTGCAGGCACAGCTTTCCTGTACCCAAAACACCCCCTTTTGCCCCCGGCGATGTCTTTTTCCCCCACCAGGGCCATTGGGAGCCGTGGGTCCGGGGGGATTTCTGCCGTTCCGGGGGGTGGCAGAGCACTCGTGCTTCACGGAGCAGACGGCAGCAGGATTGTGTGCTGCTCCCAGGAGACGTTTCCTGTTGGAACAGCAGGAGAATAAAAAATTTAGGGGTTTTCCCTTTCGACTTCAGAGGAAAATCCCTCCTTTCCTGGAAAACGGAGCCACCCTAGGAGGGCAATCATTTATTTCAGCCAGAAGAAATCCCCGAATTCCTTGTTTGGTAGTTGCTTTTTCTTTTCTCTCCACACGCACAAAGCTTTTCTGCTTGCTCCCTTTAAGCCAGGCACGAATGCATTTCGCCGTCACCTCGCTCTGCTCTGACAGCTTCTGTGCTGCGTTCCCAGCCTCAAACCTCTGTGCTCTGCAGGAACACTGTCCCTTTGTGCCCTGGCCACGATCCGTGCCCTGCTGAATTTGGACTCTTCCCACTGAGGGCTCCTTTCTGCCAGATTCCCACCGTGCCAACAAACAGACACATTGTGGGCTCTGCTGTGGGTGCACAGCCAAAACTGTTCTGCTTCACTGCACCGAGCCCGGAGAGCTTTTGTCTGTTCTTTTGTTTTGCTTTGTTCTTCCTTTGTGACCCCGGTGCTGATGGCTGCGTGCTGGAATTCTGCAAGCGTGGTGCATTCAGGGTGCAAACGCTGTGCTGCAAACATTGCCCTGCGAAACCCCGAGCTTTGCACCAGGATCCTGTGCTTGCACTGCAGCTCCTCCTCCTCTTCCTGGTGAGGAAGGCCCGCGGCTGCCCCTTTTCCCCCTCCTGCCCTTCTCCCCCCCCCTCACTGGGTGCTGCGTTTCGGAGCACCCAGGCTCAGATCCCTGCAGTGTAGGAGCTCATCTCATCCTGCCCGTGGCCGACCTGGGGCTGGGCACAGAGCGGGGGCTCAGGGCCCTCATAAGACCCCCCCCAATCTGTGTTGGGTGCCCCTACTGGGGCTGGGAGCCCCAGGGCCACATCTCCAGCCCCAAGTCCTCCTGCCCCCATACCCAGAGTGCAGAGAGCCCTGCGTCCAACTCACAGCCCCCCAGAACGTGAAAGAAAACCTCATCCTTTAGTTTTAAGAACTGTTTTTTTTTTTTCAGAGGAGGGTACAGACCCAAGTCAGCCCTGCTGCTTTTCCATGCAGTGAGACAGATTTAACCCCAGGCATTTCAATCTGCCCTTGGGACTCCTTGGAGGGGTTGATTAGCAGAGGAGCTGGGGCAGGACTGGTGCTGAGCTGCAGCCTCCTGCAAATATAGTGCAGGGAATCCGCTCCTTTCAGGGGCAGTTTGGTGGTCAGGAGGTGCAGAGACGTCTCAGCTTACAGCTCCATGGCCGGGCTGCATGCAGGCACCCATAGATGGAAAGGGCTGAGCTGCACAGCCTCAGGTGTAGCAGGAGAGATTCCCCAGCTGCCCTGTGCTGAGCCAGGAGCTGATCATGGGTTAAAACACCACCTTTGGGCTGTTTGGCACTGGGGGTGTTTCAGGGGTTAATTGCAGCATGCAATGGCTTTCCACCTGGATGCACCTGGTTTAAACCCCCAGGTGCTCGCTGCCTCTTTTTCTGCACTTCTCCCTCCTCATTACCTCCTGACCTCATGTGGGGTCACGCCTCATGTGGGGCAGAATTAGCCTTCAGCTGAGCTGGAGGAACCCATGGCTGGAGTGGGGGCAGGTGGTGGCAGCAGGTTCTGAGAGGCTTTTTCAAAGCTCCAGGCTTTGCTGCCTCAAAGCACCATGGTTGTGTCACCTGCCTGCTGTGGGGTGATGGAGGTGGGCATGAAGATGGCTCAGCCCCTGGAGGACGTGGGGCAGTGCTGGGGCAGCCAATGGGGGGGGTACCCACATGAGACCTGCAGCCCCACACCTGGTGCTGGCCCAGACCTCTCCCCAGATCCCTCTGAAGTCCATTTGCAGCTCAGTGCCATCTGCCTGGGGGGCAGCGGGTGGTGAGAGCCCCCGGTTCTGCTGGCAGGGCTGAAAACCTCAACCCCAAACCCAGCTTGTACCCAAGGAGCTCTGTAAGATTTGCTAATCTCAAAATATTGTTGGCATCCAGGACAGTAATTTACTGCATGTTTTGCCACAGCAAGTACTTTCCAAAAGGCCATGCTAAGTTTACACCGGAGCAGCTGGGATCAGATGTCAGCTGCTGGCTGCTCCTTCTGTCCCCCTCCATCCCCCTGTGCTGGGGTGCAAAGGACATGGGTTCCCTGCACCCTGCAAGCAGGTGACGTGGATACCAGGAAAGGGAACAGCGGGGGTGCATTGGCCCATGCAGGTGGCGGGGTGGGTGCACGTCTGGCTTGCAGGTTTTGCAGGGCACGTTGGTTTTGAAGTCATGCAGCCCAGGGGTAGGAAATAGGCAGCCCTGGTGCCCAGGGCCTGGCCATGTTTACCGCCCCGAGGGCTTTGCAGGTTGTGAAATTAAATCAGCTTCTCAGCTTTGGTGGCAGCTGAGCAGGAGTGCTGCACATCCCTGCACATTACTGCAGCATTCCTCCATCCATGGGATCCCGAGGGCTTTGCAGGAGCTGGGGAGGAAGGGTGCTGTGGGATCCCGGGGTGTTTCCAGCCCACGGGTGGAGTGGGCTCTCTTTGCACTGATTCCATTGCAGTGGGGACATCATTCAACACTTAGGATGTCCTCCTCCTTTGGAAGGACTGTGCTTTGGAGGGGGGGGGGGGGGGGGGCATGAGACCCTCATGTCGTCCACAGACCCCCCCTGGGATTTCTGCCACCTCCAAATCCTGGGAGATGGAAGCAAACCATCACAGCAAAAGCCATTGCTGGGCTCAGCCCTTGCTGGGTCACAGGGGCTGCATGTGGTGGCATTTCCCTGCAAACATACACACATGTCCCTTTGTGTTGGCATGAGCATGTGCTAGGAGGAGGAGCACCCTCTGCCATGGCTGCTTTCTTGATGTTTTGGGTTGAGGGATCAAACCCCATTCACACACTGGATCCCCAGGTCCTGGCCCAGCTGCTCTGGAGGTGCTTTGGGGTGGTGATTCCTCCAGGAAAGGCACAGGGATGTCATGGGGGCTGTCCTGGTGTGGAAGGGGCAGCAGAGGTGGGTCAGGATGGGGAGCAGTGCCCACACTCCCCATTCCTCACAGCAGGCACACATGGAGCATCCAGAACAGACTTGGGCCATATCTGTGGGGATAAAAAAGGCATCTTCCCAAATTCTGGAGCAGTATCTGGAGGTTTTAGCAGGGACCCAGCGTGAGGACTGCTTGGTTAAATGTCCCCATGATGCTCTCTGCTGGCAGCAGGGAAGGGTGCAGCTGGGCCACTGCTGGACAATCCTGAAGTGGGTTTGTTTTCCCACTTCCTGGGATGTGGAGCAAGTCATGGCAATGTGGGCATGGTCTGACCTCTCATAGCCCCCATCCCATCCTGTGAACCCTGCAGGGAGGGGGCATGGCAGGGAGGTCCTGAATGATGGTGCCTGGATTAGAGGGAGACTTTGGGGTGGGGGGGATCCAGGATACGCCACCCCTTGTCCAAGGTTTGCTCCACTCAGCATCACAGCATCCTGGGCAAGGGCAGCACACATGGCACCTGTGCTAAAGGGGGTGTGGGTGGGCAAGTAAATGAGAGATGTGAATGGGAGCAAGGAGCTGGGGAGGGAAATCTGCAGTGCTGATCCTGCAGGAGGGACGGGGGAGAAGACCCAGAGATGTCAGAGTTGTGTTTGGCAGGTGGTGGAGGCAAGGAGATGCTGAAGACCAAGTGAGTGCATGCCTTAGGCTGTAGCTGGTGGTGGGATGTGTTTTACACCAGGGCTGGGCTAACTGGGATGCATTGGATGCTACCTGGGGCTGCAGGCACCGAGCTCAGCAAAGCAGGATTCTGGGTTATGCTGTCTGCAGCCTGTCCCAGAGGGAGACCAGGCAGGGCAGGTGGTGACAGAGCCTTATTGGCATCCCCAGCTGCTTCCCTGGCCCTTGGTGGAGGTGACCCCCAGCAGGCTGAGGACAGCAGGGCTGGCATGGGCTCAGCCTGGCATAGGTAAGCTCCTGCTGGCAGCCATGGAGGTGGGGCAGGGTTGAAAAAAAAGCCATGGGAGGCAAAGCAATGCATTGGTTTTATCATGGCTTCCGGGTGCCGGACGTGGGTGACTTATGGGGTGCCAAGGCCCACAGGTGCTTCTGCCCCCCTGTGCTGACCTGGGAGGTTGCTGCTCCTGCCCTGTGCGGCTGCGATGTGCAATGGGGCTGCCTCAGTGGTGGCACTGCTGACACCACTGTGACACAGCATTCCCCATCAGGCTGCCACCTCCAGGAAAGCTGAGCTGGGCTCTGCTCCCAGTGAGGCACTGGGCAGAGTCTGGGCATCCCCGCTTGGGTTTCTCTGTTGCTGTTCCCCTGCCAGCTTGGAGGATGGTTATCCCAATTCTGCCCAAAAATAACACCCTGATGCTAGCAGGGCTAAGTGTTGGTATCCTCCTGCCTGTATCTGGCTGCTCCAGTGGAACGACTTCAGCTCCAGCCTCCAACAGTATGGTTTGGTGAGCCGGTGCTGGGGGTGGGTGATCCCCAGGTGCCAAATTGAGCCACACGGACGCTCAGTGTTGGTGGTGTGAGATGATGCGTGATCACATCGTGGGGACAATCCTACAGCATCCACCGGGCTGGGCAGCACAACCCGTATTTGCGTTCCCAGCTGATACCCCAATAGGAGCTCAGAGACACCCAGAATCGTGCTGGATGCGTCTCTCGATTGCCTGGCTGTTCTGCACACACAGTAAGGACATTTTAAAGTCATCCATCACTTCGCCTGGGGGCTTCAGAGGAGGGGTTGCTCCCATGACACCGCGCTCGTTGCTGTGGGGTGAAGTAAGCATCTGCTTGCGTGCGGTGCACCAGACGGAAAGCTTGTCTGCATCTCAGCCCACCTGCTGCCTGCCCCGGTGCTTGACTCAGCGTGCTGTGAATATCGTGGTGACGGGCAGCCTGGAAATGCTGCTGGAGCCTGGAAGTGACGGCAGGCATGACACGACCCTGAGCTGGTGGCTGTGGTTGGTGGCTGCGTGGTCTCCGTGTGAGCGCCACGGTTTTGAGGAGGTCTGGCTTAACCCCTGCAAGGAGGGGTTGGGCTCCAAAGGGCTTTGGACGCCTCCTGTGGGCATTTGTCTGGGTTGGTTGGGGTGTTTTCCATGGAATCCCAGTGCACACAGCATGGACAGGGCTGGAGGTGGCCATACGCTGAGGTGGAGCACTGTTCTCATCGGACATCTTTTGTCCCCATCTCCCACGCCAGTGGGTTTCTCCTTCTCTCCCACCAGCACACTAACTTCAGCTCCCCACAAAGCACGGGTCCTCTGGGGACACTCTGCTCCATCTTTATTGCAGAAGTGGCTCCTTGGCCCCCTTTCCCCCTCCCCATCATTCATCCACAATTCAAGATATTGAGGTGAGTGACCAAACCTCGAGGCTGGTCCCTTTGGGAACCCTTTGACTTTGGGTTTGGGCAACCAGCCACGATGCCTTGGTGACCCCCGTCAGGGAACGCGATGTTTCTGTGCTTGAGTGCATTTAATGTATGGTGGCTTCGCTGGTGATGTGAGAATTAACAAGATGCCAATATACTACGGTAACATGGCCCAGATAAGGCTGGGTGATAAGCTGTGCTGATTCACTTGCTCTTAACCTATGAGTCATCCTGTGAGTCAACAGAGCAAACAACGTGGAAACGTCACCCAGCAGGTCCTAAAAACTCAGATTTTGTTCATATCAAGAACTGCAAGTGGAATAATTGCATTGATGTTCCTTTCCAGGGGAAAATGTTTAATTTGCAACTGCACTCACACAAATAGAAATAGAAATCAGAGTGCTCATTTCCTTACAGACAGAATTTTGGTATTGATCTTCTTTTTAATTCTTTTCTCTGAGCTTCTAAAATTGCTTTTCTCGACACACAATCGAAAGAAAATTCTTCTTTGCAAAGTGTTGTGGTTTAGATTAGACATCACAGTCATTTTTTGGGGGAAAAAATGAAGGCTTCAAGCAGAGTTGGTGCATAAAATGGCCACCAGTGAGCTGATGGGAAAGGCCAGCAGGTGTGTGCCAGCCATGACAAGGCCATGTGTTGGCTGAAGTCCCCCGTGGAGATAGCACTCAGAGGGCCAGCTCTGGGCAGAGGTGCTGGGAGGTCTCATTCCACCTTCATTTAGATTGAGGAGGTCAAAGATTGGACAAAGTCTTGGTGGCTCAAGGCATAGAAGAAATGGAGTTTTCCCCAGTCCTACTGCCCAGGGAATGAAGGATGGTGGAGAAGGATGGACAGACCGTGGGGCAGGAGTGTCGTGCTGCAGATTGCAGACTCTGTAGCCAATGAGAGGAGTGGGGTGTTGGGGGTTGTGCTCACACTGCTGGATCCCCCTTTGACTTGCAGGGCCAATGATGAGTTTTCTTCTCGCCTTACAGGAGCACAGCAGGCAGAAAATGGGAGGCCTCCTTCACACTCTTCCTGGGGGCTGGCAGCCACCCTCTGCTGTGTAGAGGACATCAGGCAATGCCTTTGTGCAGCCACCAGTGCTTGCTGTCCCTGTTTCCATGCCCAGAAGCAGATCCCCGTGCTTGGCCAAACCCAGCACCCAAGTAGCACCCAATGGGCCCAACAACCAGCACTGTTGTCCTGGCCACTTTTCTTCCCACCAGCTCCTTCACCCACCCAGGGTCCTCCTCCCCATGGGACACATCCTTCAAAGCTCTGTAGATCTTTTCTCTGATGTTACCCTCTCATTAAACACCAGCCTGGCCCCTGGGGTTTTGCTTTGCTCCATGCCCTTCCAGGGTGCCCCCAGCTCCACCCAGAAAACCTCTCCCATCAGATCATCATCTGTCAGAGCACAGAGCTCTGTGTACCAGCTGTCCCTGAGTGCTCTCTTGACCCTGATGTTTGTGTCTGAAGGTGTTTCCTGGGGACCACGTAGCTGTGAGCCTTTGGAGAAATGCCCAGAATCTCCTCCATACAGCATCCATGGAGGGAAATAGTTGGGGAGAGGAGAAAACACTCTGTTGACCCGAATTTGAGGAAGGCTAAGGAATTAGACCATAGGTTACAGAGGCATTTTTAGTAGCATACCATGCGTGATATGGCAGCAAACGAAACAAGGACAGGCAGGGGGGTGAGTGGGTTTATATCCTATAGAATAACATGGCTTTGGGTTACTGTGGTCCTTTGGGATGAATTGGAATGTGAGGTTGACAGAAAAGTGGCTGCATGTGAGTCCTGGGGTGACCAGACCCCATGGACACAGTTCTGCTTTGTATGTGCAGAGCCAAGGCTGCAAGACACTGCAAGGCTGGCCTGTGCTCAATGTTCTCCAGGAATGTGGGTCAGCAGGGCTGGGGAAAGCACAGAGCAGGTGTGCATGGGGCTGTGCTGAGGATTGTGATAGGGAAAGCAGCTGTATCAAGGCCAAGGAGCGGTGGGGAGGACATGGAGAGAGGGGATCTGGTGCTGACTGTGGGACTGGGAAGGTTGGGTGCTCAGGTAGGACCTAGGAGAGGACCTGGGTACAAAGAAGTGAGGAAGCTCATGAACATCTTGCCTTGGTGACCCTGCTTTGGTGAGGGGTTGGTCTGGATGATCTCAAGAGGTGCCTTCCAGCCTCAGCTCTTCTGGGTTTCTGGGACTGAGCTGGGGAGCACAGTGGCCTTAGGTGATGGCAGGGAATAAGGAAGGACCTGGGGGGCAAGAGGGTCAGGGGAGCAATGCGGAGATCAGGAGATGGAGGGTCTTGTCTGGGACAAGGCATGAGGTGTGTGGGGTGAGCACAGAATCTGGGGCCGGCAGGTAACAACTGAGGTGGCAAGCTCAGTTGGGGTGGGAAGCTCACAGTGGTGGTGGTGTGGGAACAGGAGTTGTGTCCCCAAAGAAAGGTGACCTGGCCCTGGCCTGCGCAGTCCCGTGCAGGCTTGGGGGGAGTGGGGGGGCAAGACCATGTGTTGCAGTCCCATAGGAGGGGGTAGGGGCGTGCTGCTGAATGTGCAGGTCCCGGGCGGCTATTCCTGGAGGCCCCCGCCTGCGCAGGCAGATTGGTTTGCAGGGAGGTGACAAGTGCCAGCTCAAGCCTATAAAAATCTCCAGCCCCTGTCCTGGCTCAGTGACCCGATTCCCCCCTCCCAGCACAGCCGTCCCGCAGCACAGCCCGTCCCTTCAGAGTGGAGATATTGGATCCAGAGTGGAGGCTCCAGATCCAGATCAGGGACCCCAGCTTCAGAGCTAAGATCCCAAGTCTGGAGGACAGACCTTTGGTTTGGAGCAGGGACCCCCACTGAAAGCAGAGATCCCGGAGCGGAGACCCCAAAACAGCCCCTCGGCTTTGCAGCTATGACTGGCAAAACGGCTCCAGCTGCTGCAAAGAAAGCACCAGCCCCAAAGAAAGAGCCAGCACACACCCCAAAGGAAGAGCCAGCGCACAGCCCAAAGGAAGAGCCAGCGCACAGCCCAAAGGAAGAGCATGCCCCAGCCCCCGCTGCTGAAACACCCCCAGCCCCCGAGCATCACCCCGATGCGGAGCAGCCTGCGGCCCCTGCAGCTGAGCACGCTCCGGCCCATGAGGCTGAAGCGACTCCAGCCCATGAGGAAGGATCCCCCCCGGCTGCCCCGGCTGAAGCCCCAGCCCCAGAGCCTGTGCCTGAGAAACCCAAAGAAGGTGAGGAGGGGACTGGATAGTGAAGTGGGGAGGGGAAGGTGCGAGGATGAGAAGGGGACACATATGGGTGAAAAGTTGGGGCATGAGATCAACGGTGATATTCTGGGAGGGGGGTAGGGCTGGGGGGGTAGGGTGGGTGGGCTGATTGCTCCCCAAGAGCCCACAGCCTGCCCTCACTCCGTGGCTTTGTTGCAGAGCCGCCCAGCATCCCCTTGTCCTTGGCTGTGGAAGAAGTGACTGAAAACTCTGTTACACTGACCTGGAAAGCACCGGAGCAGACAGGCAAATCGAGCCTGGATGGATATGTGGTGGAGATCTGCAAAGATGGAAGTAGGCTTGGGCTTTCCTGCCTCGTAAGCATGAGAGTGGGCAAGGTGCTGCAGAGGTGTGGGACGGAACTGGGTGGAACTTGGCAGCACCTTTCTGTGCAGCCCATTTTCCTTTCTTTGCCCCAGATACTTTGATTTAAGTGGTATATATATTTTTTTCCTATAAAGGAGAGGGTCATCTCGCTGGCTTCAGCTGTTGGTGGTCTCTTTAGCAATGGGCTGGACTGCAGGGGTTTAATGTCACTTCTGTATCCAGCTCAAGGCTGGAGGAGGGAGCAGCAGGCCCGTGGGGGATGGTCTGGTGATCATGAACCTATGGAACTGGGACAGGCATACAAGACCATGGGAGGATAAAGACACAAATCTCCCATGTCTGCTTAAAGGAATGGGGATAAGATGGGGGGACGAGAGGGGAAAGTGTTCTGCTGGGTGGCATGAGAGGCTGGCATGTATCAGCAGGCAAGCCCACCCCCAGGAACATGGGGCTCAAAGAGCCTGGAAGGAGGATAGATGCAGAGGATGGAGATGGGTTGGTGGGCGGCAGCAATTAGCTGCGGTTCTCCGGTTGCATGGCTTGTTGGTGGAATGAAGGAGGTGGGTGAGATGTGTTTTGGGTGCTCTTGTGAAGCCCTGCTTGGCCTTGGGGTGAGAGCGAATGAGGTGTGTGGGGACATCAAGGGGAGGCTGGGGCTGCTGGGCTGGGTGCTGGGTGAGGCTGGAGCAGTTTGGGAGATCCAGGGGGTCCATGGAAACTTGACCTGTGGCCTTTGGCCGTTCAGCTTGTGGCAGGCATGATCAACACAAGCAAAACTACAAGCTTGGCCAGGGGATGCTTTCTGTTGGGCTGGAGGCTGGGGAAATAACTGGCTTGACAGGACCTGTGAGGAGGTCCAAAGATGCAGGCGTTCCTGGAGGAAGCTGGCTAACAGCCACCAAAGGTCATGGTTTTGGATGCTCTCCTAGCTTGCTTTGGCCTTGGCTGAGTGGCAGAAGAGGAGTAGTCACTCAGTGATGGCCACGTGGGCTCTGAGACTGCTGCATTTGGGCTGGTACAAGAACCTGGGTGGCCAAAACATGGTCAGATTGGAGTGAAGGTAGAGTAATGCCAATGGCAGGTGATGGACAGGCCTTACCCAATGTGGAGAATGTGCAGGGGAGCACGGTAAGCCACGGCAAAGGATCCTCAGGATTTTAAAGATACGCTGGCAGGGTGGTCAGAGGATCTTAACTACTTCCAGAAATGCACCTGGAATGTCAGCAGAGCCCATGTTTGTTGGCCTAATGCCTTGCAAATTGCCTCCTGCACAACAGTTGACCACCTGCCAGCTGGTAACCCACACTCCTTGGCAGGGTGGGGAGGCCAGGTGCCTCAAATCTGATGACATGAATCTTTCTGCTTGTGCCTTTCCAAGGCACAACTTTCCAACCCTTTCCAACCTTCCAAGGGTTGTTTCTCTGTTTCACTTCCTGGGGTTTGATCTTGCTGTCTGGGGGGTGCGCATCCATCTGGCCATGCTGCATCTGTAGAGCCTTGCTGGGTTTGTTCCAGGTACGGACTGGACAGCTGTGAACAAGGAGCCTTTTCTCTCCACCCGCTACAAGGTCCAGGACCTTGGCTCTGGTGAGAAGGTCCACGTGCGGGTGAAGGCCATCAGTGCCAGTGGCACCAGCATCCCAGCTACCTTGGAGCAGCCAATCCTCATCAGGGAGATCACCGGTAGGAATTCGTGCCATGCAGTATCCTCGTGTGCCTTGTCAACAGGCAAAGAAATTGCAGCTCATCCCTGCAGCCCAATCATCCTCTGCCCTCTCACTGTTGCAATCCAGCCTTTGACTGAGATGTTATCCTCCAAAACAGGGCCCAATTCCCCCGGATTGGGATGGGAATGGCGCAGCTTCCTGACCTCAGTGCACTGATCTTGTAGGTGGGAGCGAACCGCACCCAGAACACAGAGCCCCGTTCTCCCATTTCATTGCAGTGGCTGGGAAACGGCCTTGCATCTCCTCTCCTTGCGTCTCTGCTGTGCCAGCACATCCCTGTTAGGCAGCAGGGTCGGAGGCAGCTTTGTTTATATAGCTGAGGAAAGTCGAGAGCTGGCTGTGTGGACATTGGGAACTCTAATCACGCTGGACGCGCTAATGAATGGCTTGCTCCCATGCTTAGCAAGACTCGCAATCCTACTGGGGTGCAGCAAATGTGCTGAGGTTGATGGATGATTGCAAGGCTGGTTTTCATTTAGCTGACAGGAAATATATTTATTTATCCTTTCTGGGGAATTATTAGTGCACAAGTTTTCCCATGACTCAAAGAACAGAGATTTTTTCATCAGCTTAAAAGTAGTATTAATGGCAGCACGAGCTATTGCAGGAACTGCCAGCTTTTTGTAGGAAAGGACTTGGAGAAGGCTTCCAGCATCTGGAAAGGGTCCTGTAGGGCTGTGCGTGTAGCCTGTTGGGTGCTGTGTCCAGAGCTCTGCCTGAATCCTCTGGGGACTGAAGCAGAGATATCACAGAGGTGTCTGCCAGCGGTGCCATGTTCACCTGCAGATCCCATTTTCCTTGCAGAACTGGGGAAACCGAGGCACAGGGACTGGGATGAGATGCCAGGCGCACAGCTCAGGTTTCCCGTTGGCAGTCCCACGCTGCACCACGCTGCCTGTTCTGCTGTCATCACTGCCAGCTTTTTCCCAACCACGTGTGCCAGCTGAGAGTAAAACCCAAAGGGCTGGAAGATCCATGCGCAACTTGCTCTGTTCTACATCTTTTCCTTTTTTTTTCTTTCTTTTGCTGTCTGAAACTCTATATTGGCATATGGCACTTTCCAACTTTTGCATTTCATCTGAACCACAGCTTGCCACATGCTTTGGCTGTGCTGAAAAACAAATGACCCCTCCCGAGTCCACCCAGTGCTGCTGGTGCACATTGGGTGCCTGAGTCCGTTCGTCCCCATCCTGTCTGTCACATTCTGGCCTCCCTGTTTTATTCAGGATTGCATCTTGCAGCCCTCTTTGGTACATATACAGCGTCAGATGGGGCTTTAAATAGCAGCAGTACATGCAGCAGGGATTTTAAGAACAGGTGGGATGAGTGGGTTTGGGAGGCAGAGAGAGAGATGGGGAGAAACCAGCCGAAGATTCAGTATCTTGCAGGGAATTAGGGCAAGGCAATGCCTTCCCAGCCACATGCACACTCCGTCTGGGCCACTGTCCCAGCCATCCCTGTTGGCTGAGCTGGAAGAAGACACCCATGAATTAATGTTCCTCCAAGGAAATCCAATTTCTCTGCCCTGCTGGGATGAATGAGCCCACGCAGAGCACCAACACGTGGATTCCTGCAGCCAACAGCTGTGTGCACAAAGCAGAGACCTCCCCAGCTGTCAGCAGGGCCATCTGGGACCATCGGGCATCTCCCAGCCCTCTCTGCTCACAGCTGTTGAGGCTTCGCCTGCTCCTGGTTTAATTCTGGCTGTCGCCCTGCACGAGCCCCCTCCCCAGAGCTGAGCTCCAGCACGTTTAATCCAGGCAGAGACACACAGCTCTTTTATGAGGGGCTCACGTCAACCCAATGCCTCCCCAGAAGGATTGCTGGCTCCGTGCTGGTTGAGTTACACGGCTGCTATTTTCACCCTGGGAAGGAGGCATGCACTCCATCGGCATTCTCCAGTGGTTTTCTTGCTTGTCTTTGTTGTGTTCCCTTGGGGACATCAGCCTCCATTTTCTAGCCTGGGCTTTTGCAGCTCTGCTGTAAGAAACTGTGCACCATCTTGTCCTCTTGACAGCCCTGAGCCTCTGAGGAAGAGGTCCGCCAAGCCTTGCCCTTGCTGGAAGTTGGGTTGTGTGTTCCTAGAAATTCTGCTGTGTGAGCTGGGACATAAATGGTTCCCAACCAGGAGATGCTGCCCACAGCTTGCTGTCACGTGGGCTCTGCTGGTTAACCCACACCGGTTGCCATGGGCAGGCTATAAAGATGGTTTATCGTAGTGGTGCCATTGCATTGCAATGGACAAGAAAGTAATTTTGGAGTGTTGGCAATGGGAAGCACGGTCCAGGAGATCACAGAATAGTAGAATCATTAAGAAAAGACCACTAAGGTCATCTGGTCCAACCATTAACCCATCATCACCATGTCCACTAAAACCTTGTGATGAAAGGGAAGAGTTGCTTTTGGGGAGGACATCCTGATGGCCAAGAGCAGAATGCCTGGGATGGGTTTGTCTATGTTTGACCACATCTATGAGATGCGATGAGGCTGTGAGCTGTGATTTCCTGGCCCCACTGTTTGACTTTCTGGTTCCCAGATCTCCCAAGGATCCGCTTACCTCGCCATCTGCGGCAGGTGTATGTTAGGCATGTTGGGGAGGCCGTGAACCTGCTGATCCCTTTCCAGGTATGTGGGTGATTTGGGGTTTAGTCCCTTGGATTTGCTCACCCAGGGTTGATTTCCCCAGTGACCTTCCTAGCCAACGTAGCATGCCCCATTCTGCTATGTGCTAGCTTGTCCTGGTCCCCATGTCTTACGGGCTGAGAAGGGTGGGAATTTCTCTCCAATTCCTGCCTAGCTCCCATTGGTAAGTGGACAACCCCAAACAGATGAGGGCATGAACTAGGTATTGCTGCTGTCTCAGCTTGTGGTTCCTGTTCAGGAACCTGGCTTACAGTGCTGTGGACCCAGAAACTCAGTGCTGGGTGTCCTCCCAGGGAAGGCGGCTGTTTTGGAGCAGGGTAGACCCAGGGCTGTGTGAAGAAGGTACTGAAAATGATGCTGGTGGGACGAGCTGGAGTCCATAGTCCATCTCCTGGGCTAACATTACCTGCTGTCTGTGGCATCCTCAAAGCATCTCCACTACAGCATCTGCTGTGGATTAAACCCACCCCTGAAACACCTCCAAGCAGGGGGAAGCAAGAGACAGAAAGCTGTCCCTGCAGTGAGGGACTTGTCCACCCCTGTCTTGTAGGCAGCTGGGAGCCTGTGCTGGCTGTGCTCCAGGGGTGAATCAGCCATGGATACCAAACGCAAACCCTTAGCTCAGCAACATGAGCACGGCTCTGTCTGCAAATCTCTTGATAGGCAAATGAATTTGCTGGGTGGGGACTTTAGGGACGGATGATGGGTGGTGATGGGGATTCGCTATAGTTTCTTCCCTGGGCCCTGCTGGATGGGAGAGTGCCTGCTCACTGCAGGGGAGTTGGACTAGATGACCCTCAGGGTCCCTTCCAACTCAAATGATTCTATGGTGCGTATCCAGGCCATGGCTGTGCCTGGATGAAGTGGAGTGGCTCTGCTCACCCTGTTGGGACCACATCCTGCCGTTGCTCTAACCTACCTACATGGGTTCCTCCAGGGAAAGCCGCAGCCCCAGGTGACCTGGACCAAGGACAACCAACCCCTGGACACCAGCCGGGTCAACATCCGCAACACAGAGAAGGACACCATCTTCTTCATCCGCACGGCGCAGCGCAGCGACTCGGGGAAATACCAGCTTGCAGTGAGGATAAATGGAGCAGAGGACAAAGCCATCCTGGATATCCGAGTGATTGGTACGGCTACCGATGGGGACCCATGGCGTTGTGCTGTGAGAGGTGGATCCGGGGCTCATTTCTGCCCTTTGGTTGGGGGTAGCTCCTATAGGTCTGGGTGGTATGGGACAGGGACAGCAGCAAAGCAAGGGCAAGGCCCTGGGGTCCTTCTTCCATTGCATGAGGAAATCGCTGTGGGGGTTGCAGGATGTCTACCAGCCCATGCCCATAGCAGATCCTCACCTCTCGTGTGCTGCAACAGGGTAAAAATGCATTAAAAATGAAGAGGATGGACAGAGCTTAGTATTTGTGGGGAGCAAATGAGGACACAGCCATGTGAGTGTTTGTAATTGCAGAGCGGCCCGGTCCCCCCCAGAACCTGAAGCTGGTGGATGTGTGGGGCTTTAATGTGGCCCTGGAGTGGAGTCCCCCAGCAGACAATGGAAACTCTGAGATAAAGGGCTACACGGTGCAGAAGTCAGACAAGAAGAGCGGGGTGAGTCCGGCCACTCCTGTGCCTCACGTACCCCAGTGCTGGGGCTGCACCCCTGGGTTCCCTTTCCTTTAGGCAGCCTCCAACCGCTCGTTTTTGTTTTTCCCCCCATCAGAAATGGTTCACGGTGCTGGAGCGCTGCACCCGCACCAACTGCACCATCTCCGACCTCATCATAGGCAACACGTACTCCTTCCGTGTGTTCTCAGAGAACGCCTGCGGGATGAGCGAGACAGCAGCTGTTGCTTCTGGGGTGGCTCACATCAAGAAGACAAGTGGGGATGGGGAAGTGGTTTGGGGTGATGGAGTGGGAGGGAGGGATCCTGTCCCCATCAGGGCTTCCTTGGGGTTGGGTCAGTGGTGATGCCTCTAGGCTGGTCACCAGGATGAGCCCTGCAGGGCAAGACTCTCAGTCCTTGGGATGGATGAAGTAGAAGGTTCTGAGGGGCCTGGCCTTGGTCTGACCTTCTGCACAGAGCGAGACAAGCATCACCTTGTTGGCTCACAGGCAGGAGGCTGCATCAGCCCAGGACTGGGCATGGTTGGATGAGCTGAGATTTATAGACAGGGCTGGTTGAACTGAAGGCCGAGCCCTCGGGTCGCTCTAGATGCCGCCTAGCTCATGTGAGAGAGCAGAAGTATTTTGGGAGGCTTGGGGCTGGGCTCACATGGCTGTGTGATGGTCAACCAAGGATCCCAAACTCTGCCTCACCTTGATTTCATTAATTTCCTAGAAACTGTTTACCAGCCACAGAAGATCCCCGAACGGGACATGATGGAGCCCCCCAAATTCACCCAACCCCTGACAGACCGAGCCACCACCCAGGGCTACAGCACTCACCTCTTCTGCTCCGTCCGGGGCTTCCCCCAGGTCAGTGCTCCTCCAAGGGCAGCATCGCCTCTGTGTGCAGGCAGCCACCAGCTGGGCTCTGCAAAGTGGCTGGAAGTATTGGGAGATGGCTGGCCACGTCGAATGAGGGCTGAATGGAGATAGGGTCTGCAGCTGCCCTCTGAGTCAAAGCAGGGCAGGTTGGGGAGTTTCTGCACAGGAAGGGGAGGTTGGTCTCAATTCAAGCCATGTCCTGTTTCCTTCCACTCTGAGAGAGGAGCTGTGGATGGTGGTTAGAGCTCCAGAATGGGTGTTTTAACTCTACAAATGGCTTCTGACAATGGATCCCATCATGGCCAGTGGCACTGGGAAGGACCAAGGCAAAGCAGAAGGAGATGGCTATATTTTGGGGACAGTTAGATTTCTCATGTTTCTCCCTGCTTTAAAAATAAGTCAATAAATGAAACCCTTCTGCCTCCTAGCCCAAAATCATCTGGATGAAAAATAAGATGGAGATACGGGAAGATCCAAAATACATAGCAATGATCGAGCAGGGCGTCTGCTCCCTGGAAATCCGCAAGCCCAGCCCCTTCGATGCGGGCGTCTACACCTGCAAAGCTGTGAACCCTCTGGGGGAAGCCTCAGTAGACTGCAAACTTGATGTGAAAAGTAAGTTTGACTGAGGAGAGAGAGGAGCAGGTCTCCCTGCCTGCCTTCCACTGCTGTCACAGTGGTGCAGTTTGCGCCTCTTTTCTGTTGGGTTTTGGTGGAGGAGGAGCTGAAAGGCATTGGGTTGCTCTCTGGCTTCTTGGGTTTAGTCTCGCAGCATCCCTTGCTTTTCATTCATGGCCAAAAAGTGGGCAGAAAACCAGAGTCTGTAGATGCAAAGGAGCAGAGATGTTGGCAGAGGCTGTAACGGCCGCTTGCTCCTCACTGCGTCCACCATCACTTGTGTCCTAAGTCACCCCCAAGCCACGCGTGCCAAAACTGCTTCACTTGCACCTGGGGTGCCATGATTTATGTCTCAGGATCCTGCCCAGGCTTTCCAGCTCCCATTTCTCTGCCTCAGCAGAGAGCCCAAACCTTGATGACAAGCTTGTCCTTGTGCTGGGGACACAAAGCACCTGACCATTGCCTAGGCTGGAACATGGTGTCATGGGGACAAACTGTCTGGGAGAAGGCAGTGCATGTGTCAGCTCTCAGAGCGTGAGTGCATGGGGATGCTGTGCATAGGTGTGAGCACACTGAGAGGATTTGTCATGCCCAGTGCACATTTAGATGTCATAGGGAAGTGAGGTGAGGGGATTTCAGGGCCTTTACATCTCCCATACTTTCCTACAGTGCCCAAGTGAGGACAGGTTGGAGGCTGAGACGAAGAGTGAGGTAGGTTGGGACTGGGGCTGAGGGTGGATCCTTTGGGGATGGAGCAACTTGTGTATCCTGGACTGGCCCTTGCCAGCTGCTGATGAAGCCCTGCTTGGGGACTGCCTCCTCCCAGGGCTGGAGATGTGCTGGTGGGGAGAGATGGGAGAAACCTGCCCCTTTGCTGGGAGGAGGGAAGGCTGTAAATGAGCCAAGAGAAAAGAGGACATGAATGGGGAGACACATGAACAACAGTCAGGGCTTGGAGATATGGAGGTGAATACACACACAGGGGGCTGGAGGCAGGTATGAAAGTGTGTGAGATAGAGGAGCAGAGCTGAAAGGCTGCAGATGAACCTTGTGGGGCAGATGAGGGTGGAGGAACTTGTGTGGGTTTGTCATCCCTTGGAGCCACAGCTGGGATTTGGTTTCCCATCTCACCTTCGACCAGCAGCTGTCAGGACTCAGATCCTGTTCTTTCACCCAGGTGGATGCTGCAGCAGCACAGCACGTGGTGATGCTCCCCATCACAGCCTTCAGGCCTGTCCCCTCCCCAGCAGTGCCCCTGGGTCCTGCGCGTTGTCCTGGCCATGGCATGGCCCTCTCTAGGTGTGTTTTTATCCGTGACAATAAAACAAGCCTATCTGAGCTTTGGTCCTCAACAGTCACTGTGTCCTGCAGTGGGGGGGGCACTGGGGTGGAGGAGAGGGAGCTGTAGGGATGCTATAGGGTGTCACAGCATTCCACACACCCATGGGTGGAGGAGACAGCTTTTGAGAGAGTGTCAGCTTTGTAAAACATGAAGATGGCTAAAGCAGAACCAATCCATCAAGGAGGAGGAGGAGGGTTACCTGCTGCAGCTGGAGAATGAAGAAGAGAAACAGCAACAACACAACACAGTCATGTTGGCATACCTTCATCCAAGTGCAAGTTCTTCATCCTCACCAGGGCTGCCATAATTCAGCAGCACACCATTACCCTCTCACCCAAACACAGACAGGCTGTGCCCATGCATTACACAGAGGAGGAATCAGCCCATTAGCTACATGTCCTTCATGTGCAGGAAGGCAGCCTCATTACTTCCATCTGTGAGACAGCTCAGGTCAGATATTGGTAATTAACAGAGAACCCAGACAGATCCATCAGGGTGAGCGAATGAGCTGCTAAGCAGGGGTCAGCAGCACAGAGCACTTTGCCATCAGCACAGCCTGCTGGGGTTGATGGAACAGGCACATGGGGCAAGGAGGGAGCATGGGGTCAGACCCATAGACTGACATCCTGGTGAGCCATGGCACTGCAAACCTATGGATAAAGCTGCCACCCTTGCTCCATCAGCCCTGCAGCCCATCTGCCTCAGGTCCCCCAGTGCCCAGACTGAAGCCTGAGGGTTCATCACGGCATTGCTCACACCAGACCACACTTTCCACCATCAGAGGGCATCGTGGGATTAATTTTTATCCCAGCCCAGGGTCAGGCTGGCTCATGGAGGTGGCTGGGGCTAGTGATGCCACCGGGGTGCAGGCTGTGGTCCAGCTGGCTGGGCAGTGGGCCAAGCAGACCCACTGGGCATTGGGCACTGATGCTGATGTTCTGCCCTCTCACATTGTCATCATCTCAGCTTGTGGCACTGACAGGTGCTGGGAGCGGGCTGTTAGCAGAGTGGTGTGCAGCCCTGTTGAAGGGAAGAGGCATCACCAACCTGGAGCAGTGCTGCACACTGTGCCCCTTTTCTGACTGTTAATTCAGCCCTGCAGGGCAAGGAGTGTGTTTGTAACCCCCCAGGGAACCAAGGGGGGTAACAGCATCCACTCATAGTGAGCCCTCCTGGGAAAGGTCCAGAGGGCACACAAGTGGAAAAATCTGCTAGATGTATATTTTACTGAAAGCAATCATCCAAGTGCCTTTTAATTTATGAACATCCCAGTTGTTAGGTTTCTGGGCACCTTAGCAGGGAGCAGGCAAAGGCATCATTTCCAGGAAAGCAACCTCTTGCAGAAATATGACACAAGTGGGAATCTGACCTGTGCTCAGTAAACAACAGCCCTAATCTGCAGCCAAGCTGCTGCTGCGTAAAGGGGCTGTGGGCAGGGGCTGGGGGTCCTCTCTGGGTTGCCCTGGGGCTGCAGCATCCCTGGGCACTACTGATAAGGGATTTGGAGTAGGATGGGGGGCAGTTGGGGCCCCTCTACAGAGCTGAGACCCAAAACAAGCATCCGTCTAGTTTTCTCTTTTGTTCCTCACTCAATTTACCTACCGTGGTCTGAACCTGCAGGGCTCACAGCCACCCTGAACGTATTGAGACCCCTGCAAAACGTGTGGGATAGAGCCCCTCATCCCTTCTCATCCTTTCTTCCACGCTCCCTTGCTATCCTCCTCTTCCTCTCAGAGCAATGTATGGCTGTCTGCAGGGGTGGGCCAATGGTGAACCCACGTGCATGGGTTTGTGCTCCATAGCCAGTGAAAGAGCCACCCATAAATCTCAATGCCCTTTTCCTCCCAGCCCCTACGGGAACTCACTGCAGTCATTTTGCCATCGGTGACGTCTGAGGGGCACAGCCCTGCCAGGGCTGGGAAAGGGCCATAGGAAACGTGCTTCCAAAGGGAGTCCAATGAATAGGGGACGCTGATAAGAAAGGAATTCCAATTAACTCTAATTAACTCTTCCCACCGCTGGAAGAAATCCTGCCACAGAGCTGAGTCTGGCAGTGCTGCTGTAGAGACTGCAGAGCCGGGTGGGGAGGACAGCTCAACCCCACGACCAGCAGGACCAGCAATACCCCCTGCCCATGATCAAACCTGAGAGGCACACATGGCAGCGTCAGCCCTGACACAGCGCCCCCAAACCACCCCAGGTGGGTGCAGGCTCCTCTGCTCCCCTGGGCAATGGAGGTGTCTGCATTCTGTACACAATGTCTGACCGTGTGGGGACGGAATAGGGAACAAGTGGGAGAGAAATGAGGCAAACAGAGGCTGGAGTGATTGCAGTGGTCTTTTCCAACCTTCATGACTACGGAGGAGATGCGACCCTGCCTTGCACAAAGGGCAGAATGTGGTGGGCAGAGCATGGGGTGCCCAACATTGCAAACAGCTCCAAGGAGCCCTTGGAACCCATCAGTGGTGGAGGACCTCCTGGGTGTTCATTACCATTTTATTTTATTTGCGTTAAGATAAACCGCATCTTTATCTGTACAACATCTCCTTAAATACTTGGCAACACTTAAAAATAAAAATAATAAAACTAGAACAATAACAAATAAAAATAATAAAAAGAAAGGAACAGTGCAGGCTACAATATCAAAACAGTACGATGCTTGTGAATAAATAACCCCTGGGGGCAGCTCAGGGGCTGGGCTGTTCAGATTGCACGGGGAATGGCAAATTCAGCCCTCCTGGGTCCTCATCCCCCCTTCCCTGGCAGCAGTGATCTCTCAGCTCTTAGTTGACCGTCTCAGTTGTGGTGCTGCTGCTGTTTTTGTTGGTTTTGCAGCAGAAGTATTGGTTCCAGATCTGCTGGAAGGCTGTCCGGAACTTCTTGATCCTGAAGGCATAGACAACGGGGTTCATGGCCGAGTTGCCGTGGGTGAGGAAGATGGCGATGTAGGTGAGGATGTGAGGAGTCTTGCAGGATGGGCAGAACAAGGTGATGCAGTTGAGGATGTGCAGAGGGAGCCAGCTGAGCACAAAGAGAAAGAGAACCAGCGCGAGGGACTTGGCGATCTTCAGCTCCTTCCCATAATACTTCTGGGGGTCGTTGGAGCTGGAGGAGACCTTCTTGTTGAGCTGCTTGCGGATGAGATTGAAGACTTCCAGGTAGATGAGCAGCATCAGCAGCAGGGGCGGCAGGACCCAGACGAAGAAGTTGAAGTACACCATGTACTCCATGCTAATGACCGTCTCGAATTGGCACTTGATGACAAAATCTGAATGGCTGGCGTTCAGATCCTGAGTCCCCAGCATCTTGTTCAGGTTATTCCAACCGAACATTGGGGTGAGTCCCACCAGAAAGGAGACGATCCAACAGCAAGCGATGGCCACTGCTGCTCGCCGGGGCGTCACCACGCTCTTGTACCTGTGCAAGAGACAACAACCACAGGGAAAATGAAACGTGAGTTGGAGGTTTTGCCTGGGGGTTCAGACTTCTGCACACGGGGTGGTCGTGCCCGTTCTGAGATGCCCATGATGCTGCTCACTCCATAGAATCATTAAGGTTGAAAAAGACCTCCAAGATCACCCAGTTCAACCTCAACCCATCCACACTGTGCCCACTGACCATGTCCCTCGGAGCCACATCCCCACTGTTCTCAACACCTCCAGGGATGGTGACTCCCATTGACTCCCATCACCCCCATCCCAGGGGGTGGGCAGAGACCTCCTGGAGGTGATCCCAGAGCTTTTGGCATTGGTGAGAAGCCAGGAGGTGCATTAGTAACCACACGCTGTCTCCCTGCTCCAGCCCCGCTGGGACCCTGCCTCAGCCAATTCCCCCTGTGCTGGGGAGGAAATCGCTGACAAAAACTTCCCCAGAGACTGCTGGGTGGAGGAAGCATCCAGTGGTGCTAATGGTCCTCTGGGCACAGCTTGTTACATTTCATAAGTGCTCTCCCCGTTGACAAAACCCTTTTTCCTAATGGGCTTGCGCCAAGGGATGGAAGGAGGAGGCTGGCTGGGTTCTGTGTCCTCCTCACCAACATGGTTCTGGCTCCCCAGAGCTCTCCAAGCGGGAACAAAGCCTGCTAGGTTGATTTTTCCCCCTGGTCTTCAGATGAAAGCACCTCCTTGGAGGCCAGACAGATTCACAACCCAAGTGTTTTTGCCTTCCACTGGAGAGGATTGAATGAGGGATATTTTTCTGGCTGTCTGCTGGGTTTTGCTGTGGTGCCAGTGTTAACTTGGTCATGGAGGTGGCTGGGAAACACAGAGTCCCATCTTGCTGCTCTGAGCTTCCTGCTGTTTGTCTTAACAAATCCGCCAAGAACTCAAACCCACTCCTTCCCCCTCAAAGGTCCACTCTCCAGACCCATCTCAAGGGTAGGATGGGAGCACAGAGGGGTGCAGGATAGAGAGGGGACGTCCATCCTCAGGAGCTCAGAGGGTCCACAGCCGCCCATCCCTGATGGCTTTCCTGAAGGAATCCCCCTCTGTTCTGGGAAATCATTTCCAGGCAGATCCCGTGGGAAGGAGGTGGCAAGGCAGGCTGCTGTTTCCTCTGAGAGCCAGAGGGTGATTTATTCCTTGTTGGGAGGAGAGAGGGCAGGAGACCCTGAGAAAGCCATGGGGCAGGGAGATCTGGAGCTCTGGGGAGCCAAAGGGCGGTGGGAGAAAGTCAGCACTGTGGGATGGGTGTGGTGGGTGACAGGCCCCCATGCAAGCCTCACATCTCAAGGATTTTGAGGGTTTTCTGCTATTTTTTCTGCAGTTTGAGGTGCTCCCCACCCTGCAGCAGTGGTGTCCCATGGCCCCAGGCACTTGGGCATAGAGCACTCAGCCCTCCTTCCCTTCCATTGCCTGGGTTTGGGAAGCACAGGGGACAGAGGGAACACTGAGACCCCATTTTTAGCCGTGAGCTGGAGCAGAGGACACAGGTTTCATGCCTGCAGCCACAGTGGAGGGGATGGAGAACGGCTGCTGGGGGCCAGCACCAACAGTCCTGGCTCCACACTGCTCCAGAACAGGGCGTGCTGCTGCAGATGGCTATCAGGACAGCTGCAGAGGTCGTGCACAAGTCTGTCTGGTGCAGAGGGTGTAACACACACGCAATAGAGCAACAGCCCCACATCAGCACACAGCCCTCCTTCCTTTTCACTGCACATCCATCCAACCCACTGTACATCCACCCCCCCTGAGCGCACGTCCATCCCTGCTCAGTGCACAAATCTGTCCGTCCTGCTTAGTGCACATCCATCTGTCCTTAATGCACACCCATCCCTCCTCTATGCACACCCTTCCATCCTTCTCACTGCACACTCATCCTTGCTGTACACTCAGCCCTCCTTAATGCACATCCCTTCCTGCTCATCGCTGCACATTCACCTCTGTGCCCCGCTGCACATCCGCTGCTCCTCACTGCACAGCCCAGGCCACCGAAAGCAAAACCTCCCTGGTTTATCCCCCTCCACATGTGCTGGTGTCATCGTGGTCACAAGAGATGGGACTAAAACCCAAACCAACAAACTCACAGAAACCAGCAACATTTGGAACTGGGGCTTCTGTTGACTTTGTTCCTTTAAGCCACAAGCCCAGGGCAGTGACATCCATCCCTGGGGCTCGAGGTGCCCACACCCCCATCAGCCCCACACAAGGAATGATAAAACCACAAAATGACTCAAAGTTCCAGCTTTGTACACCCCACGGGGTCTGGACATGGGGCTCTGCTGCTCTGAAGGCTGCAAACCCTACTGAAAAGCAGGGAAATGCAAGATTCTGCCTATTGCTTGACCCCATGGCCCAAAGTGTTTGGTGGTTGGGGGAGGAGGGAGGGAAGAAAGAGTCTTTGCTGCTCCCATGTCTCTGTTTTGATCACACCGACAAGAAAACATTTTTCTCATCTGTCTCATTTGGTATTAATGAGATAGAGCTAGAATTTGGGATGGGTCTGGGAGGCAGAAGCACTAGGAAGTGCTGATAATGGCTCACAATTAATAAATAATTATATTATGATTGTTGTCATTGTAATGATTGCTACCATCATTACAAATTTATTGCTACTATTATTTTTATTAACAGCTGCCGCGAAACCATCCAAGATAATAGTCACCTCCGTCATCACATCATTTGGGCTTGTTTCCTTCATCTGTGGGCTTTTGAGCCTGACCATAATTGCCAGTTTTCCACTTCTCGTCCCTTCCTGAAGGGCTCTGCGTTGTCCCTTCCCCATGGAGATGGCTATCGCCCCAAACCCTCCTGGACACCCCGCCAAGGCCTGGAGAAAGGAGTGGGGCTCCTTGAGCCAGGTACGATGTACTGGGAGAGATGCTGGGGTGCCCCCACCTCAGGAAACTGTGGGGTGCCCCCCTGGCCCTCACCCTGAAGGTGTTATCTGCCTTCTCTTCCATTTATTTGTCATTTCCAGACTTGATTCACCTTCTACCACATCTTGATGTGTCTAGGTATCTGCAACTCACAGCTTGATCCACATATGGCACTCAGGGAACATATTCTCTTGACTTGGTTGACAAACCTTCAGTGATTCCACATCTGGTTTGTATCATACGTATAAATTTTTTTTTCCTCAGCATTTCTCAATATTCTTTTGTCCATAAAACGTGTACAGTTGCCCAGCCTGCCCTGAGATGCAGCTTTGCTGGTCCTCGCTCTGGTAGGGCTTACTGCAAAGCAGCTCCTGGGGAATTAATTCACTAATGAAGGCAGACCATCGCTAACAAAATGAAGCTGGAGCCAATGAGGTAGAAGGAAAGGAGACCAAGCTGACATGAAGATCATCTGCACTCCGAGCACAGCACAGAGGAGCAGCCAGAGCATGTCCTGATCTAATTGAAAATCTCTAGACAAAACCTCCTTGATCTCAGGGGAGTTTGGTTTCTGCTCCTTTTTCCCTGCTGTATCTCTGCTTCTGATCTCAGTGTCCTGGAGGCCTCTGGGTGGGCAGCTTTTGGTGTTTGAAAAACATCAGAGATGTGAGGCTCAAGAAACACGAAGCTGAGAAATGCAAAGCAGCATGCAAGTCCTGCAAGGAGCTACCTCAGCTCAGGGCTGAACGTGTAGCTGCAAGGTGTGCTGCATAAGGGACATTGAGTGCTCCATCTGTTCGCATCCCTCCTTTGTGATGGTTGGGAGCTGTGTGGCTCTTTGGAGTCACACACCCATCTCTCAGCCCTTCATGCACCCAACAGCCATTCAAAGACTGCAGCGAGCCAACAGCAGAGACCATGTTGCCTGCAGACGTGGCTGGAGCTGCTGGGTGATGGTTCTCCTTTCCACCACAAGGGCGTTTCACACCCTCCTGAGTCATCCCTGCAATTCTCACAGCTGGGATGGAGGTGACAGGTGGCAATGAGCCACAGAGGTGATGTGAGAAGGCACCTCGCGGGCAGAGGGGTCATTTCAGCCTATTGGTCTCCTGATGGCATCACTTCTGGTTTTCCACTTGGGAAGAAGTGAGGGTTGGTGACAGCTGGTGGGTGGACCGTGGCCTTGGGAGGGATCGATGTCAACCAACATTAGCCAAAGCTGGTGGCTAGACAGAGCTCTCCATGACAGCCTGTACCTGCAAATACTTCAAAGGCAGGAGACTGATAGCCAGCATCTCCCAGGAGATTGTCCCAGCACCAAAATCCCAGTGGCATCCAAGTGGGTGAGGCTAAAAAGCACCAAGAGCTATTAAAAGAAAGGATGGGGAACTTACAGAAGAGGATATAAGAAGGGTCTCGAGTTGTTCTGTTGGCTGGGTGAGCAGGAGGCAGGAAAGCTGCGATAGCATCTCCTGGGGGGAGGCATTAGTCCAGCTGTGAGGCACAGCTGAGGTGGGTCTTTATCTCTCAGCTGCAGAAGAACACTTCAGAAGATGAGATATCCTAAACTACAGATGGAACAGGAGATTGGTATCGGCTCTCCTTTAATTTCTTGGTTCTGCACTTCTGCTTGCTGACCCGACTCCTGCTTTGTAGTCAACAACCCCAACTCTGGTTTCTTAGGTACGGTTTGTTATTGCAGCTCGGGATCTTCATGGCACATTCTGTCACTGCAGAGGGAACATTTCCCTTCACGCACTTCATTCAGCTCCAGGACTGATACCTCCAAGGCTGAAACATTGGCTGGAGGCTCAGCAGACAGGGGAGGTTGTTTTCCCCACCCAACCTCTAAATGAGAATTAGGAGAGCTGATGAGATCTGCTGCTCCTCAGCCGCAGAGGACACGATAACCCAAAACAACCCATCCAGCATCTTCTGCACAGGGCAGCTTTTCCCTGCTTTAAAGCTCAATTTCAAATGCAGAAAGCAGGCAGATAAATTTCTTTTTTGGCTAATGAGCTGTCTATATGTACTTTCAATTAATGAAACCTGTCTCAGAGATGCCATTTTGCACTTCCACCTTCAGCCCAAACACAACTTG